GCATTCCCAACAACAGTGCAGAGTTCTCTTTTCTCCACATCCTCTCTAACACTTAATTATCTCTTGTCTTTTTGATGATAGTCTTTCTAACAGGTGCAATGTGGTATCTCATTGTGGTTTTATTTTCATTTCCCTGATGGCAGTGATGTCAAGGACCTTTTCATATACCAGTTGGCCATTTGTATGTCTACTGTGGAAAATGTCCATTGCCTAGTCCTCTGCCATTTTTAATTTTTAAATCGACCACCAATCTACTTATCCTTTCTTTAGATTTGCCTAATCTGGATATTTCATGTAAATGGAGTAACACACTATGTGAACTTTTTGTGTCTGACATCTTTCACTTAACAGAGATTTTGAGTTTTTTTCCATGTGGTAGAATGTAGAAGGACTTCTTTCTTTTTATGACTATATTATATTGAATTACATGGATATACTCCTTTTTTTTATTCCTTCATTGGTTGATGACCATTTGGGTTGTCTTTACTTTCAGGCTGTTATTATTAATATTAATAATGTTGCAATAAACATTATTCTTCAATTTATTGCACAATTTATTGTACAAACATAGCCTTTCAGTTCTCTTGGGTATATACCCAAGAACTGTAGAATTGTTATGTCATATGTTAACACTTACGTGATTTTGTGAGGAACTGCTGAACTATTTTCCATAGTGCCTATACCATTTTATTTTTATATCAGCCTTGATAAATATTACATTTCTCCACATCCTTGCCAATACCTTTTAATTCTTATTATGTTTTTAAAAACTAAAGTCATACTGGGTATGAAGTGATGTGGTGTGTTTTTATTGAGGTATAATTGAGCATAAATTATATTAATTCCAGGTATACAACATATTTATATATATTTTGAACTGATCATTGTAAGTCTAGTTAGTAGTCTTTGAAAAATGTCTATTCATGTAATTTTCTGCCAAAATTTATTCACATTTAAAAAATCATATTGTTTGCTTGCTGTTGAGTTATGTGAGTTCTTTATAGTTTTTGGATGTTAGCCCCTTATCAGATACACAATTTACAAATATTTTTTCCTTTTCAGCTTAGTGATGGTTTCTTTTGATGTGCAGTTTTTTAGTCAATGTAGTCCATTTGCTTGAGAAGTTTGTGAAGAATTGTCTTTAATTATTCTTATGATGTTTGATAGAAATTATTTGTGAAGTCATCTGTTCTGGACTTTTTGCTGCTACCAGCAAATATTTTAAATGTTTTAATGTACTGATTCCATCTGCTTATTCGTAATTCATCTACTGAGATTTTCTATTTCTTCATGATTTTGTCTTGAATAAATACGTTGTATGTCTAAGAATTTATCCATTTCTTGGAGGTTGTTAAATTTGTTCATAGGAATTCATAGGTTCGAGGGACCTTTTAAGATCCTTTTTATTTGTGTGGTATCATTTTAATGTCTCCGCTTTCATTTCTAGTTTTATTTATTTGAGTGCTTTCTACTTCCCCCTGGTAAGTTTAGCTGAAGGTTTGTCTGTTTGTTTATATTTGGAAAAAAAAACTCTTAGTTTTATTGATTTTTTAACCTATTTTTTAAGTCTATATTTCATAAATTCCTGTTTTGGTATTTGTTGTTTATCTCCCTCTATTAAATTTGGGCTTATTTGTTCTTCTTTTCATAGTTTTTGAGGTTTTTTTATATGTGAGCTTTCTTTTTTTTTTAAATGTAGGTATTAATTATTGTGAATTAATTAGAACTGCTGTTGCTGCATCCCTTGTTTGTCTTAAGATACTTTCTGATTTTTCTTTTGACCCATTGGTTGTTCAGTAGTATCTTGTTTAATGTCCACATATCTATGAACTTTTCACTTTTGGTCTTGTAATTATTTCCAGTTTTGTACCAGTGTGGTCAGAAAAGATGCTTGATATTATTTCAGTTCTCTTAAATTTGTTGAGACTTTTTGACCTAACATATATGATCTATTCTGGAGAATATTACATGTGTACTCAAGAAGAATGTACATCCCATCCCAGTTCAGTTGCATCTGTTATAATATGCAGTTAAGTCCAGCATTTTATTAATGATTTTCTGTGTAGATCATCTATCTATTGTTGAAAGTAGGATATTGAAGGTTCCCATCTATTATTGTATTTCTGTGTATGCCCGCCTTTTAGATCTGTTAATATTTGCTTTATTTATTTAGGTTCTCCTATGCTGGATGCATAGATCTTGTTCTTTTCAGTTGTTCTATAGTCTTGTATTGTGTGACTGTATCATTGTTTACAAACCTGTGTCTTCTTGGTAACATCTCATTTCCCCCAGTCTCTTGCTAATATAATAATCAATACTATCAAAAAAAGTCTTATACATGCTTGAAATAATTGAATGCATAAATAATATGCAGTCTTCATAGTTTATTCTGGTTTCTTTAAAGTCTTATCTTTTTTTTTCCCCCATAGGAATTATTTGGAGTTGTTTAATGCAGATCTTGCATATTAGGTTTTATTCTTTCTTAAGTCATAATCCAACTTTCAGAGATTTTGCCCACCAGAAGCATATGCACGTGCATATGCTTTTCTAAAGATCTGATTGTGAGCAAAAAGTTCTTAGTTGTTAGTGGGAATTCTAAGATGGCATAATTAGTTTTTTCAAGATTTCTATCATTTTCTAATTTTTAAGTATCAAATAAATCTAGAGTAGCTTTCCTTATGCTTTCTTACTCTTTAATATTTCTGAGAAAATAAACAAATATAAATAATTTATTGAATATATATGAAAATTGTACATAAGTATCCATATTAAATTATGATTATCTTACTCACATTCAACTTTATGCAAGAAAAGGGGGAAATTAATAATGTACCACAATGTTAAAAATTGTGTTTGCTGCTGAGATCATTGGTGATTACTTTTCTTTGTTTTTTTCTGCTTCCCATATTAAAAAAAATAGTATGTATAACTTTTCTAAATTAGTATATGCAATTTTTCTAAAATTAAAACACAAATTTTATCTGGAAGATATTGTACTCTTAGCAGAATTAGATTTTCAATAAATGTTAGGGTGTTAGAAGTCTTCCAACACAGTGTATCTTGTCCTTATGCTAATTCAGGAAGTTGTTTCAGGAAAATATTGTTCATATCCTCTGGCTGGCCCAGATCTAGTGTCTCTTTTCAAGATGATATAATGTCTGCTTTTCTTTTGTTTGTCCTTGTCCAAAAGCTGTCCACCACAATCACAGAATAAACCAAAAACTGCTCTGTACTAAGCATTGTGTGCCACATACACACATTGCTGGCTCTCCCTCACACTCACACACACTTTCTTACACACACTTTCTGCACTTTCTCACATTCACAAACACACACACATACCTAGTCATCAGTAGCTCTCCACTATGTTTCAGAGCATGCAGAACTAAAATGCAAATACAATCAGTATTCATCAAATCCAGACACATTTCTTCACGATTTTTCTGGCTATGCAAGAAAGACCTGATTGTTTGTAGAGAATAGTTGTGTCCGTTAGAAATAGACCAAAGATATTCTTAAAGATAAACATGTGAAAGCTGCAAAATTGTATTATGTGGAGAGAAGTTCTTAAATAGGGAAAAGACTATAACATGTTAATAGGGGGGTTATGTTACGCCTACACGGCATCGGTTGCTAAAGTCATTGACCTCATGGGGTCATCACATATAGGTTGTAAAACTTAGGGTGAAATGAATTTAACAAATTCTCATTTGGTAGACCTTTGCATAAAACCCTATAGACATTCCTTTGCATTTATAAAGGTGAAAGTTGGTTTCTATATAAATGACCTTTTACATTTAAAAGGACAGTGATTTCTGTGGTTATTTTCCAGGTAAATTTCCCATATTTAATATATAATTTTTCTCTAGATTCAGGCATGAGAATTTTATGTTATTACTTCTGGATATGCTGTATATCAGCCTGATAGCTCTGCTATCTATTAGGAACTTTTTTGGTACTACAGAAATAGAGTGGGTAGAGCAGTTTTGAAAACTGGAAGATTTTTGCATCCATGACAAAGGCTTAGAATGTGGTGAGAGAGAACCTAGACTTTGGCGTCAGCTAGATCATGTTTCCAATTCTGGATGTACAACATATTAGCAGTGTGACTTTAGGTATGTCATTTAGCACTTTTAAAGACCCATTTTCTTTCCTGTCTGATTTTGAGAGTCAAACAAGATGTTACATATGTAAAATATTGAGCAATACCTATCATAGTAAGTGGGGATTACTATGAGTATCAGTAACACTACTAAGTGCTATTTAATGCACTTAATTTCATGTACTTTCTCATTCCCAGTATTGTCCATCTGGGTTATACTTTTCTGCAGAACTTGGGGAGGCTGAATCCAACCATGCCTGCTCTTGTTTTACCTGATAGACTCTGTTTGTGTGAGCAGAATGACTCAAACAAAGGAGTGGTCATTTAACAGAAATCCTCTAAGTTCCAGCATAGCTTTGATGTTTCAGATCAGAAATATCTTGAGACTCACATTCATAATTATGGCTAAAGAAAAAATAATTAATGCTAAAAAGTGGGCAGAGCTCGAAATTATGTAGGCATTTAAAAAAATTTTTAAGAATGTTTTAGAAGTTATCTGTAAACCAGGTACAGCATAAGATGTACATGAGAAGACATGGGGACATAAAGAGACTCTCTCTGCAGTTATAAAAGCAGTTTTTGTGGGCCAATTCCATTTCTCATCTGAAAGAAAAACTCCCGCACCTGGGCAAGCCTTTCCTGGTAATAGAAGCCAAAGGCAATGTTTGGGTCTACCGTTCAGTTAGAGCCTGTTGGAAGTTCTAGGGAAAAATATTGTCCCAGAAACAGCATTATTTAAACAGTGGCTGGCACATAGTAGGGCTTCAAGTTCTATTTCCTGAGTGAATGAGCAACTAGATGGATGGAAGGCTGGAAGGCTGGCCGGCTGGCCGAATAGATGGATGTGCATGCCTGAGGAGATAACTTAGTAATGTCTTTCTTTGTGTTTCGACTTCAGAGGCACCAGAAACCGTTCAGCCAGGTGCCACGGCTCAGCCTGCCAGCTCACATTCTTTGCCACACATTAAGCAGCAGCTGCGGAATGAAGACTGCTACCACGGCAAATTGAGCAGGAAGGCAGCAGAGAGCCTCTTGGTAAAGGATGGGGACTTTTTGGTTCGAGAAAGTGCAACATCTCCTGGCCAATATGTGTTGAGTGGACTGCAAGGAGGCCAGGCAAAACATCTTCTCCTGGTGGATCCTGAAGGCAAGGTATCATTAACTTCTCATTACCGTCTTCACGGGATGTTGTGACAAGGTTATTCTGAATGGTAGATTCAAAACCTGATATTGAGTTGTCAAGAAGAAGGGTATATTATGTTTTTACCCTCCAACAGGAGCAGGAAGTGCTAAACAGAGGCTGGTGGAGGGGTCTGAGTAGGAATCGCCCTAGAGGATCAAGAAGAGGACAGCTTCTTTCTGTTCAGTTCAATGTACTGAATGAATACTCACTACATGAAGTACAAGGAGTGATAGCTGATTATTGCCCAGCATCACAGACATGGCCTTTGCTCTTAGAATGTTTATAATTCAGTCAAACAGATGTAAATAATTATAACATAAGGATGGATGACAAGAATGGTTCAGCCAAAGCATTATGTTGTTCCTTAGCATAGAGGAATGCCTGGGTTGACACAAATTGCGATGACATCTTGCAGTCTGACAAGTCAGATGAACCTTGAAAGAGACAGATTTTAAAAGGGGGTACATCTGGGACATAGGGATGGAAATGCAGGAGCAGAGAGCGTAACTGAAGGGTATTAAGCCCATAAAGATGTAAGGAGCAGAAATGTTCTTGGAAAGTAGGTTGTGAGGTGGGAATGTAGACTGAAATGCCTGCTGTCAGACAGGGAAGATAGTGGCAGGTTTTAAAGTGGGGATGATGCAGTTAACCCATGTAAACAATGACATTAGCACTATGATGGAATAGGAAGTCTCAGCCCTTATTCTGCTACCCAAACACTGACTTCACAATTATATATAGATAAAAATACCTATATATGAGAATTCTAGAATCTAGTTAAGAACCTGCAGTATCCCAGGTGGACACAAAGTTGAAAATAGCCACATGGAAATAGGACAGAAGAGCTATTTTACTTTTACCAAGTCAGTCCCTCTCTCAAGTTGATAATGCTCAGTGCCAGGGAGAGAACGTCTGAGAGAATGACTTTCTGCTCCTCAGTGGGAAAAAGAGAAGTGCATGTGTCCAGTGTTGCGGTATTTTTTTTGAGGACTGCAGAGAGACTGGTTTCTGTCTTGTCTTTCAAGGAGCACGGATGAAATCAGTATGGCTTGACTGCCTGGGGAAAAACAAGAGTTGAGTGGGGCTTACTATAGCCATATAGCTTGGCATGAAAAGGAAAAGATGCTTTTCCTTTAATAGGAAGGGAGAGGACTAGAACATGGATCTGCTGTTCTGGCTTTTCAGGGGACTGCCCAAGGCTGATATCTGAGCACTGACAAGGAGCCAGAAAATCTTAGACGCCTGTGGACACTGGGAGCAAGGACTAGTGGGGAAACTTGCAGTTGCTCTAGGAAACCTGCAGTATGTTGACAGACACCAGAGGGAGCAAGAGATTAGGAGTGCTTGGGGAAAAAAAAAAGTGGCAAGACTTTCTTATTGAGAAATTGTATGTATAAGCCCAGGGAATTTGCATCCTTCTTCCCCAGGGCCCAGAAATCTCTAGCCTGGCTGATTGGTGAGAGTCTTATCCCATATAAAGTCAAATGCAGGATCCCAGCCTAAAGAAATGAAGGTATACAAAGTATCTTACAAAGAATTCAAAATAAAATGAAAATATCAACAAAGAGAATATATTTAAACTAAATAGAAATTTTGAAGAATGCAATAATCAAACGGAAAAATTTACTAGAGGAGTTCAACAAACTTAGTCGAGCAGAAGAAAGAATCAACAAAATTGGGCCTCCCCGGTGGCGCAGCGGTTGAGCGCTGGGTTGCGAAGCTGGCGAAGCTGCCCACAGTGTCTGCGGCGCTGTTTCGATCCCCCGGCTGCTCCCACATGGCGCGCAGACCTCTCCTGCCGCCCGCTGCTCCCCTCAGCAGTGTACTTCGGTCCTTCTGCCTGCTCTGCTCCCCGCTCTGGCTCTGGTGAATTCTCTCACTCTCCCGTGCTTCTGACTGTACCCAGTGCATGTATAAACAAAAACAAACAAACAAACAAATAAATAAATAAGCATGCCTCTATTAAAAAAAAAAAAGAATCAACAAAATTGAAGACATGTTGTGTGTATTCATCCAGACAGAGAACAAAAAGGTAAAAAAGTAGAATGAAAAAGAGTAGAGAAAGCCTCTGGGACTTATCAAATATCATCAAACAAAACAATATGTATTATGAGAGTCCCAGAAGGAGAATACACATTCTTCTCAAACACACTAGAACATTCACGTTAGATCACAAATCCTAAGATAGATTACATATTAGGTCATAAAAAAAGTCTTAACAATTTAAAACTTGAAATCATACCAAGTGTCTCTTCTGATCACAATGGAATGAAACAAGAAATTGGTGACAGAAAGAAAACTTGAAAATTCACAAATGTGGTCATTGACAACACCCTCTTTTATTTCTTGTTGAGGTAAGATTTCAGGTATATAGTTTTTCACTGCAGCAGCTGTATATATCATACTACACCCACCACCAAATACCTTGTTATCCACCATTAACCAATTGGTCCTCTCTACTTCTACCAGCCACTCCGCTTCCCCTCTGGTAACCACGATTTTATTGTCAGAGTCTAAAGGTTTTTTTCTTTCTTTTTTTTTTTTTTTGGTTTTGTTTTAGGTGGTCATTTGCTTTTGTTTTGTTATATTCCACAAATGAGCAGAATCATATGGTATTTGTCTTTCTCCTTCTGACTTTTCATTTAGCATAATTCCCTCAACGTCCATTCATATTGTCACAAAATGGCAAGATTTCATCTTTTTAAATGGCTGAGTACTATTCCATTGTGTCTATACCATGTTTTCTTTATTGTTGTTGGATACTTGGGTTGTTTCCCTGTCATGGCTATAGTGCTGCAAAGAATAGAGGGATGCATATATCTATTTGACTTACTATTTTCATATTCTTTGGGTAAGTGCCCAAAAGTGGAATTACTGGGTTATATGGTAGTTCTGTTTTTAATTTTTTGAGGAACCACCATATTGTCTTCTGTAGTGGCTGTACCAATTTATATTCCAATCATAATTGTCCTTTTTTTTTTTTCACATTCTCACCAATGCGTATTGTTTCTTGCTTTTTGATAATAGCCATTCTAACTACTGTGAATTCTCCTTGTAGCTTTAATTTGGACCTCTCTAATGATGAGCAATGTCAAACATCTTTTCATGTGTGTCTTCACCATCTGTTGGTCTTCTTGATGAAATGTCTGTTTAGATCCTCTATCCATTCTTGTTGATTTATGTGAGTTGTTTGTATATTTTGGCTATTAACCCTTTGTCTGATATGTGGTTTATAAATATCTTCTCCCATTTAGTAGGCTGCCTTTTTGTTTTAATGATGTTTTCCTTCATTGTGCAAAAGCTTTTCAGCTTATTGTAGTCCCATTTGTTTATATTCTTTTCTGTTTTTCTTGCTGAAACAGTGAACTCTTGGACAACCAACAGGTCAAAGAAGAACTCAACAGGGAAATTAGAAAATATCTAGAGACAATAAAAATGAAAATAGCATTGTGAACCTATGGGATGCAGCAGAAACAAAATGAGAAAAGTTGGGGGGTGGGGACCAAAGCGTGGTGGAGTATGGTGGAGGACTGGGGGCACTTTGGTGGTGGTAAAATCATGGTAACTGCACATGAGGGGAGAAATCCTATATTGTGAAAAAATAAACAAGGATGTTTAAAAACAAAGATAGGAGAGTGAGAACCGGGACACGGAAGATAAACGGGTGACGCCAGCAAACTGCCCGAAGAAGAAAGTGGCCATAAAAGAGGACCAGAAGGGAGGGAAGCGCAGAACCCTGCTCCCCTCCCCCGCCCACAGAGGCGGCACTCTCCGACCGGCAGAGAGGAGGAAAACAACAAACCAAAAACGACCCACAAGAACAAACGACGCAGCAAGCGGGACTGTGAGTGGAAAGGAACTATTGCAGCCACCACACCCCGTGAACGGGAGCTGAGACGAACCCTGCAGGATTCGCCGCGGCGGTGAGCGAACGGCTCCGGGCGCCATTAGAGAAGAACAAAGACCCCGGGAGACGCGCACCCAGCCCGGGCTGCCGGTAAGCCTGCGCGGAAAAGCGGTGCGCTCGGGGAGCTTGAAAAGAAAACGCGGACCGGGATCGCAGCGGCCCAGGTCCCCGCGCCTGCGACCTAGGCTTGCGGGGAGACGCGCGGAGGTCCTCACTGAGGTGAAGGTCCCCGCGCCTGCAACCTAGGCTTGCGGGGAGACGCGCGGAGGTCCTCACTGAGGTGAAGGTCCCTCCCTGAGTGAGCAGGAACCAGGCACCCAGGCACGGGAGCGGGGTGCAAAAGGCGCCATTCCCGCGCAACTGAACTGGGCTACAGCCCGCGTCCTGGAACTGAGGGCTTTGAACTGAGACCCGGGGCACGAAAATTCGGGGCGTGGGTTCTCCACGACGGTGGGGCACAAGGCAGACACAGCACCCCAAAGCTGTTGAGGTGTACCCTACCATTCCCGCTCTGTTCCCTGTCCCACGGGGTGGGGGGAGGCGAAAAACAGCCCCCCAAGGACAATAGGAGAGATCTCTGGTGCCACCTAGCGACCAGGAAAAAAAAGTCACTAACACCCTATAAAACAGGAAATTTCTTAAGACTGCTTGAAAAGGGCAGAAGGCTTCTGGAGGACCCAGTGGCCAGCCGGGAAGTTATTCCACGCCAGGCCCCTTCCGACCAGCAGTCTGAGCCCACAGAGGGAGCAGGCACCCACGTCCGGGGCAGACCGGGTGCGCAGAAGAGTGTGCCTGAAACCGGAGGCGCAGGGACTGCATCCCGCTTCGCTATTTGAGAACAGGGACATTTCTTCAGTAAAAACTGCCTAAAACCAGCAGAAAGCTCCCCCAGAAGACAGAGATGGCTCCTGGAAGAGCCAGAGGGGAGCGGAGAAGTTCACCCAAGATGTCAGTCAGTCCGAGCAACACAGTGTCCCAACGCATACGACAAATTAGAAAACAGACAGTAGGGAGTAGAAGAACCACACGCAACCTAACAACTCCTCAGGAAAGAAGCACACC